TAATATTAGCGCCCCCACACACACACACACACACACACACACACACACACACACACACACACACACTGTCTATTACACACACTACACACACAACACACTACACACGCACTCACACACACACACACACACCACACACTCACACACACACACACACACACACACACACACACACACATACACACCACCTCCACCACCACAGATGGAAGTTTTTTTTGTATGCATCATCTCAAAAGCATTGACATTCTTATAGCTAAGCAAATGAACTTAAAATGTACTGCCATGTTTATTGTGGTTGATTTTCGATCCCTCAGAGCTCTAAACTAGTGAATGAGCGGTTGCTGCTGGAGTGGGACATTCCTGCCATAAACGGGATCATCCACATCATTGAGGCCCCGCTGACAGCACCTCCCCCACCGGTGAGTAAGGATGATTTAATGCAGAACAGCTGACGCCTGCAGCATCAGCTGCTCAGCACGCCTGCACACTTGTGAACGGGCATGTGTACATGTTCACGTGACTTCAGCTTTCCACACAATGCCAAAAAATCTGCTTCGTTAACTATCGTATGGTGAAAATGGAAAGCTCATATTTAAGGTTGCTAACTTGTCTTCTCAAACTAAACCCACACAGGGAACTGTATACAGCGAGAGCTGTGTATGATGGAAAGTAAGGAGTAAGCAAGGATTAATAAGTCATCAGCTTTTGTTTAATTAAACTAAACAAAAATATACATATAAACGTATTTCCTTCACAACATTAAAACTGAATTAACTACTAGATGAAAATCAGGTGCCAAATTAAAAACTTTAATCAGAAAGCCTTTTTAAGGAGGCAATTAAAAAATTCCCTTTTGGTTGTCAGGACAAAAGTCTATGCCACTTTGGATTTTTCCTTCGGCTTTTGAAAAGACTTCAAAGGATTCACACGTTGGCTGATGTGATCTTTTATGACTTAATTACAGAGTGTGTGAATGACTTTCAAGTTAGGCCATGTCCACACTAATACGTTTTCGTTTGAAAATGCATCTTTTTCTCTCCATTTTGGCCTTCCGTCCACACTGAGACGGTCTCAGTGTGGACAGCGAAAACTGAGACCTTTTGAAAACAATGACACATTTTAGTCATGTGATGCAGTCAAGTGACCAATTAAACTAAGATAGCGGAGGGCATTATACAGCAGTTGTTTTGTTTGCTCTCAATTTTGACAGCCCTATTAAAGATTAATATCAGTTTGTACATGCTCCAGATAGCTTTTCTTCAAATTCTTTAATTCTCACTCGCTTTTGCAACTTTGTACTTTTGTGTTACTCGCAGCAACAACTCCACCTCATTGTTAGTCCATTTAAAAAACTCGGTGGTTTCCTCGACATTTTGCCGCAACGTTTCAAAGAGCTGGAAAGTAAATAAACAGCAGACAGAAATGAGGCAGTTTGAATCGTCTTGCGTCTCATGCATGCGCAGTACTGGAACATAAGCGTTTGCGGCTTTTTCAATGTGGATGAACAACAATGTGAAAACGATAGTGTGGACGCAGAGTGTTTTCAGACGTATACACCTATTTCAAATTTATCAGGGCTGGTGTAGACGTAGCCTCAGTGACTTTCAAGATCACCATGAAATGCACCAGGGCAGGGTCAGAAACCTCCTAAAATGGGGATGATGGATGTAAAAAATTTTTCTCTCAAAGCTTTGAGGAGCCACAGCTCAGGAGCTCGTGAGCAGCATGCCAAGGGTTGCTGTCCTCTGTGCTAGGCGTTAAATACCTGAGACAGTTTTCCTTTCAGAAAATTAAGCACAACTGTTTTAAGTTGGGGTGCTGTGCAGTTGATGGAATAAGTGTGAGTTGGTGGTAGCATCGTTAAAATCTTAGCTTAAACATGCTAAGATTGTTTAGGTCTTAGAACTGAAAATATCATTCATCTAGGCAGCATGGTGGCACAGTGGCTAGCACTGTTGCCGCACAGCAAGAAGTCCTGAGTTCAATTCCACCATCAGGCCGGGGTCTTTCTGTGTGGAGTTTGCATGTTCTCCCCTGTTTGCGTGGGTTCTCTCCGGGTACTCCGGCTTCCTCCCACCGTCCAAAGACATGCAGCTTGTGGGGATAGGTTAATTGGATAATCAAATTGCACTAGGAGTGAATGTGAGTGTGAATGGTTGTCTGTCCTCCTGTTAAAAGGGAGTTTTTCCTTCCCACTGTCGCCAAAGTGCTTGCTCATAGGGGGTCATATGATTGTTGGGTTTTTCTCTGTATCTATTATTGTACGATCTACTGTACAATATAAAGCGCCTTGAGGCGACTTTTGTTGTGATTTGGCGCTATATAAATAAAATTTAATTTAATTAAGGATATCCTACTGTTTAATGTGAGCATTGGTCATGATAACAGTATATATATATATGAAATTACAGGGAAGCTCAATAGGCCCAGTTTAACAGCAGAAGTGCTAAATCCTCCTGCTCTCAGAGTGTAAAGAAACATTTTGCTGCACAGAAGAAACAGTTTTTCTCTCTATTGCTTGTTAAAAGTGAGATGAGGCGCTTGCTGTATCGGGAAGAGCTGCAGTTCTAACCATAGCCACCAGGAGGCACCACCACAACCTCCCCCTCTGTTGTGCAGCGCCTCCTGATAGGCTGCCGTGTGTTGTTGCTGGGGGGGTAGTGGCAGAGAGCAGATGGTTGTGTTTAGTTTCTTGGAACAGGTTCCAGGAAATGAAGATTCAATCTGCTGCATTTTCTGTCAGTTAACATCAGAGCTCTGATCAATATTCATGATGTGGGACTCAAATTATGATGACTAGGTCACAATAGAATCATTTGATGGAACCTCTGGCAAAATAACAGCTATTTAATCACCCAAAATCCACAGTGCTCAGTTTAAATCCACTTCTCCACATACTGACTGTGGGCCAAGGTGGTTTCACACTCTCTCATCTCAGATCTTTCACATGTGCTCAACTTTGACAGTGAAAAAAATGGAACAGATTAATGTCAACCTATTAGGCAAATTTCCAGTTCCATAGTTTGATTCTTGGGCTTTACAAGAGTAACTGTGATTTCAGTTCAAAATAATCCTCGTTTATCTTACACTGGGCCTTGGTGCAGCCGATCAGTTTGTCCTCTGTCTGAAGCAAGTTGGTTTAGCTCTTCTCCCTTTACGGTAACATTGTTCTGAATTGCTGGAGGCAAAACAAGGAGACAATAGGGAGACAGAATGCACACGAAAACAAAGGCAGACACAGGAAATATGGCAGAAAGCAAGAACGTAGAAATACAAGGAAGGAACTACAGGAAAAACAAGACACATGGCTGAGAAAGGGGAGTGAATATGTTCTTTTCAAAATCCATATTCCTGCTCTTGGGCTTTAATAGAGTATCTTGGGATTATTTAGAGTTAAAATTTTTATTCATCTCATGGTGAGTCTTAGTGGAGCCCTTCAGTTCACAGTCTGTCTAAAACAAGGTGTTTCAGCTTGTCTCTTCTTCTTGCTCTCTGCTCCCTTTAAGGGTCAACACAGCAGATCACATGCAGATCACATGCCTCCCTTTGACCTTATTATTATTATTATTATTATTATTATTATTATTATTATTATTATTATTATTATTATTATTATGTGTATTAAAACCACAATATGGATATTTCTTTTCTTTTCTTTTTTTTTTAAATATTGCGATTATTGTCTTAGTCCTCATGTATCATATTCTGGGTGTTGATATAGCGCCCTGGTGCTGCTGAAAGGACCTGTTTTTACTTTAAGTCAACTTTCTTCTGAATGGCTGGTTTGGACAGCAGGTGGGTGGGGCTTCTGTTATCCCCTTCCTTTGACATAATGCATATCCCAGAGTAAACAAAAGATCAGTATAGATCCATTGAAGCCTGAGCTTTTGGCTCACACAGATCTCATTATTTGAAACTTTTGCCACCTTAAACACTTGAAATGAAGGCAGTTGGACTTCTTTTTGGTTAACCTCTCATATGAGATGTTTCTTCACTTTTAAAACAACTAATGGAGAGTCTCAAGTTTTAAGCCCTTTTGTTTTGCCTCACTATAATCATGTGAGCTGTTAATGGTGACGTGAGTCACTGTGTGAATCTGTTATGAGACATTGACTCATGTGAGTTGTGAACATCCAGTGTTAGGGTCATTATCATTACTCAACAAAAAGTAATGTATTACTCAGTACTCATTACTTTTCTTAAAATAATACAGTTTGTTAATTACTCCCTGGAGAGAGTAATTCGTTACATTATTTCTTTGTCTAATTTCTCATTACTCCATAAAATGATCTGAAATGTATTGTCTCATAATCAACACCACAAAGCAAAGTTGAAAATGAGCCCAAAGAGACTTCAAAGCGATCACCACAGTGATTCTACTGTAGAAACATGAACAGTTAGAAAGCAGAGACTGCAACCTGACTGTTCATCAGTTACCTGTTGAAGGCTGGCTGTGCTCGGATCCACATACTCTCGGCTTTAATATCACTCTGCTTTTGGTTAATTTTGCATTAGCATGCTGTCTGTGCAGATGTTTGCAAAAAGGCAAAGCTGCCTTATTTTTGTCCTGGACGCAGTTTGCATTTCACCATCACGCCATGTCTTTTTGTGGAAAAAATGAATACAAGTAGTGTCCATATCTTCACTCCTGAAAAGGCGCTCTACCATTTGTGTCCTGCATGCAATCAAATCAGCTGATTGTAACACGAGTGCACAAAAAGAAAAAAATGTTTTTTGAATGTAGGTGCAGTGTAGGTGACTGATTGCTGGTGTCATAGGCTACCACCTTTGTTCAGTGATGATCTCCAAGGGTAAAATAGAAGACATAGTACCTGTGAATAGTGCTAATATAAACCTGTACAGCCTAAGAATGGCAGCTGAAAAAAGATACTGGCTTAAGTAACAAGAAGCAGGTTCAGTATGTCATCACTTAGCTAACAAGTTGTGGTCCAACCTGTTTCTCCCAACTAATGAGCAGCTGCAGCTTTTGTCAACTCATTATCTGGAATTATGCACAAATTTTAAATGTGATTCAGATATTCCACACTAAGAAATACAGGTGAGCTTGAGTTTTATGCCTGCTATTTTCAGGAGTTCAGGTAGAGAAAGGTTCTATTTTTTAATTCTACATGATGAGAGCTAGCTGTGCAAAAGAAGGGCTGAGTCAAGTCATACATTAAAAAAA